ACCCTAACACCACCCTAACACCACACCCGAACACCCTAACACCACACCCGAACACCACACCCGAACACCCGAACACCACACCCGAACACCACACCCTAACACCACACCCTAACACCCTAACACCACACCCTAACACCCTAACACCACACCCTAACACCACACCCTAACACCCTAACACCACACCCTAACACCACACCCTAACACCCTAACACCACACCCTAACACCACACCCTAACACCACTCAGATCTTTGGGAAAATAGAGCTGCACAATTTTTTTGCTTCAGCATGTTGGGCTTTTGCTATCATCGGTACAAATATTTCTGCTAATTCGGTTTCCTTTTCTTATGATTTAGCACTTTGGCTTCCACGTTGGATAAACCCAAGAAGAGGTGCTTACATCTGTATGGTTTTGGGTATTTGTATTTGTCCTTGGTATATTCAAAACTCAGCAAAATCTTTTTCAAGTTTTTTGGGTGGTTACTCATTATTTTTAGCCCCAATCGCTGGTATAATGTGCACTGATTACTATGTTTTAAGAAACAGAAAATTGAACTTACCAGGTCTTTATAAAGCGGATGGTCCATACAGATTTTATCATGGATTTAACATTCCATGTTTCATTGCGTTTTTATGTGGTATACTCCCAAATCTCCCTGGTTTGGCTTGGGTTTGTGGAAATAAATCTGTACCAAAGGGAGCCATTTATCTCTATTCTATATCATATGTCACTGGAATTACAATTGGCTCTTTAGTTTACTATTTGATTTGCAAATACTTCCCATCACTATGGAATGCTAATTTGGAGAATTTTGAAGAAGATCCTGGAAACACGTTTGTTCCAAATGCTGAAGAATTGGTTGATGGTATCGAGCTAAGAAGCTCTGAACTTGGAAGCTCTGAAGTATCTTTACGTGTTAATGAAAAGGGGAATCAGATCAGGGTCCGCCAAGTTTGAATGGACTCTGATGTTCTTGTCTTTTTTTTGATTTTATATATTCTACGAATTCAGTTAACAATATTATCTATGATTTATGATAAGTAGAGTATAATATCTAGTAATATTGATTTCAATGATCAGCTAATTTTGCAAGTGGAATGGACGTAGTATGAACATACATGATTGAAAGTTGAGCTGTATAACAGCACACCAAGAAATTGATAAGATTACAAACCAGCTGTCATATTCAAGGACACAAAGTCGCAAGAACAAACAGGCGAATATTCAAAGTTGTACGTTCTGTCAAAAAGATATATTATTTATTATTCAATTAGTAACTAATTTACATAATCAGTTTCAACACTACCTTTTTGATCAACAAGTCTTGAGTATAGTTCTGGACGACGATGTCTTGAGAAATCAAACATTTTTTGTTTACCATTGATTGTGTCCTCCAAATCAATCTCAGCGATTAACAATTCATCATCTTCAGTTTTAGCTTGAGCAATAACTTTCCCATTAGGATCCACAATGATAGAACCACCAATCAAGCCTTGTCCATCTTCAACACCACATTTTGCTACTGAGACTGCAAAACATGAATTGAAGTAAGCATTTGCAGTTGTTGATAAGTCACTATGGTATTGTCTCAACTCTTTGTTCTCTTTAGACCCAAACAATGAAGTACCATTTGCTGCAGTATTATAACCATTCAAGCATAAATCCATTCCTTGTAGTGCATAAGCTCTCCAAGCTTCAGGCCATCTTCTGTCATTACAGATCAGCATTCCAATTGTAGCATCAATCCATTCAGGGTCTGATCTATAGGCAGGGAATCCCAAATCACCATATTCAAAATATCTCTTCTCTAGCTGTTGGAACTCAATTCCTTCAGTAGGCTCATCAAAACCTGGCAAATGACACTTGCGATACTTATGAACGATTTCACCTTTATCATTTACCAAAATACAAGTGTTGAAATGGTTTCCTTGATCAGTAAGCTCAGCATACCCTAAAACAAATCCGATCTTAAATTTCTTTGCTGCATCAAATAAGGGCTTCACAGTTTCTGATTTACTAATATCACCTTTTTCAAAATAAGAATCAACATTTTCCTGTGACTCAATAAACCATCTCGGGAAGAAAGAAGTTAGTGCAAGCTCTGGAAAGACGGCCAATGATGCATTGGATTCAGCAGCTTTCTCCAATAACGAAACCAATCTTTCAACAGTTCTCTCCTTTTTGGTCTCTTTCAAAATAGGTCCCAATTGAACCCCTGCAATGGTGAATTTTCTAATCCCTTTAGTCATATTGGTGATACTATAGATTTATCTATATTCAACACTTTCAAAAAAAAAGTGGGATAAATTGGTGTCTTTTATAGAAGATTCTCAAAGCTCAAGGGATCCGGAGATCTGTAGTCTTGTTTTCCGATCACTACATCAAAGATTCAAAACGAGCTAATATTCAATGAGTCATGAGCTATGTGAATGTAAAGTGCCACCTCAAAGAATAACAATGCAAAAGTTAGCACTCTATTCTCTAATATCTTTCTTGAGTTCTAATTCATGCAATATTAGACAGTGATTTCTTAAATACAAAATCAACACCATATAACGGAAAATCCCTCCTGTGATCTCCGAAGCGAACACGATGCTCTTAACTAACGAGGGTGTTTATTCGACCAACTAAACAATCCCCAAAAACACCAGTTATAAATATAACCACTAGCTATAACCAATTAGATGTCTAAATAACATCTTAGATTTAACCCCACAGGTGCTTTGTTAATATTGTATTGACATGCTTATTAATACTCGATGTCTTGAAGTTCAAAATATTTTAGCAAACTCCAAAAAACTATTTATTCAACCCAAAGACTGATCTATTCTTGTTCAGAGTACAAAAGAATTAATTACCAAAGACAAAATGAGTGAATGGCTATCCAGAAAAGTTAACGAGTTGAAATTATCACCTTTGGATGTCCTTATTGTTGGTGGTACAGGTGGTTTAGGAAGAGCAATCGGTAAAACTTTGGCTTCATGTGGTGCCAGTGTCACTGTTGTTGGACAAACTTTTAGAGATGAGGATGTTCCAAATATCAAATTTGTTAAAGCTGATCTTAGTTCAATTGAAAGGTCCAAAGGCGTTGCGAAAGCACTAGATGTTTCACAAACAGACATCGTCATATTTACTACTGGTATATTTGCAAATTCCAAGAGGCAAGAGACTGATGAAGGGATTGAAAAAGATTTGGCTGTTAGTTATTTGAACCGCTTAGCAATGACAAATATAATTGCACCAAAGTTGAAATCTTCTGTCAATTCTTTTGGGTTCCATCCTAGAGTTTTCTTTATTGGCTTCCCAGGAAAAGGTCAACTAGGAGACCTTGAAGATTTAAACCAAGAAAAAAAATATAATTACTACACTGCACATATGAACACTGTTGCTGGTAATGAAGCACTAGTGGTCAATAGTAAAGATAAATTCAAGAATGTAAAATTTTATGGATTGAACCCAGGTATTGTGAAGACTAATATTCGTGACAACTTGTTTGGCAAAGGTTCATACTTATCATCTTCTATTGAAACTGTTATTGGCTGGTTTACCTACACACCTGAGCAGTATGCGTCAAATATGGTTCCTTTATTAGTTGCACCTGAGTTGGAAAAGTTTGCAAGAGTAATCTTGGATGAGTTGTTCCGGGTTATACTATTTACATGCTGGTTCAGGAAAAATTTTCATTATAAATGTTGGAAAAGATTTTCCGCTGCTGTTCTTGTATATTTGTTTAGACCTTTGGAGAGTGTTGAAACATTCCTGGTGTATTACCACTGAGACTTGTTGACTTTGCTGTTTGTGTTGAATACATATTTGTTATTTGTTACATCTTATATTTGTCTTGTTATCTATTGATTTGTTTGTCGTTAATCTAGTATCAGATCTCTTATTAGCAGCTCCAGACGCTTCTAGAGTTAGATTGGCATCAGTTAGTTGTTCCTATTGTTATTAAATCGATTCTTCTGTTGATCATTAAACATCATGGTGAAGTTAGAAAGTGACAGCTCCGATGGAGACATTCCTATGACTACCAAGATAGAATTGATGAGTTATTCTCTGATCGTTTGAGTGAAGATGATCTCAAGTACATCTTGGAGAGAAGTTGAACTTGAACTCAGTGAATGAACAAGGGCGATGAATCCGTGATTATAATCAGACGTAACTAAGGTT